CCACTACCCTTCTCACCATTACTTTCATTACTATTACCACCAGTACTGTTACGATTCGAATGACTACTAGTATTATTACTACTACTACTACTACTACTACTACCACTACTACTACTAATACTTCTACTACTACCACTACTACTACTACTACTACTACTACTACTACTGCTACGACTACTACTAGTACAACTATTCCTACTACTACTACTACCACTACTACTACTACTACTACTACTACTACTACTATTACTACTACTACTACTACTACTACTACTACTACGTCTACCGCTACTCCTAACTACGACTACCACTACTTCTACTACTACTACTGCTACCACTACTACTACTAGTACCACTATTACTACTACTACTACGAACTACTATTACTACTATCAGTAGTAGTAGTAGTAGTAGTAGTAGTACTACTACTACTACTAGTACTACTTGTGCTAATATCTGTTACACCACGACTTCTACAACTACTTATACTCCTACTACCACTACTGCTACTGCTACTACTGCTACTACTACTACTAATCTTACGATCCTTTTCTCTACTACCACCACTACTACCACTACCACTAGCAGTAGCCCCACTACAACCCTACTACGACTACTTCTTCCGTCACTGCACCTACTACGAGTTGTAATAACTACCACCATTACCATTATTACCTCGAAGACCATTACGAGCACGACCGCCACTACCATTACTACTACCACTGCTACAGCTGTTATACCGCCCGTACCACCACTACTACTATCACAACCACCAGAATTCTATTACTACCAGTACCACGACCACCATTACCAGCACTACTCCACCTGCGACGACGACGGTTGTGAATACTTGTATTATTGCTAGTACGACTACTACTACTACTACTACTACTACTACGACTACTACTACTACTACTACTGATACCACGAGTAGTACTATTATTACTGCTACCACTACCACTGCCACCACGGTTACTACTACTACTACTACTACTACTACTACTACTATTGCTACTACTACTGCTGTCACTACTACTAGTATTCGTACTACTACCACTGCTACGGCTACTACTGCTACTACTACTACTACTACTACTACTACTACTACTACTACTACTACTACTACTACCTGGTACTACTACTATTACTACTACTACTACTACTACTACTACTGCTGCTACTACTACTGCGACTGCTACCGCTGCTACTACGATTACTACTAGCATTTCCATTACCAATGCGACTGCGGCTTCTACCATTAGTAAAACCACCGTTATACGACGACAACGACGACCACGAAGACGACCGCTATTCTCACTACCACAACTACTGTTGCCACAACTACTGCGAATGCTAGTTCAACTACTAGCACTACTACCAGTACTACTACTACTACTACTACTACTACTACTACTACTTCTACTACTACTACTACTACTACTACTACTACTACTACTACTACTACTGATACTACTACGGATACTATTCTTACTGCCACTATTACGGCTACCCTTTTAAATGTTTTCTACTACTACTACTATTATTATTGCCATTATTGCTACTGCTACTACTACTACTACTACTACTACTACTACTGTTACTACTGCGTCTACCCTCACTACGAGTACTACCACTAAATTACTACCGATACTACGACCTACTGCCACTTCTTCTTTTTCTTTTACTACTACTACTACTATTACTACTACTACTACTACCACGGCTACTACTGCTACTACTACTATTGCTGCTACTACTGCGACTACTACTACTTCTACGACTACTACTACTACTACTACTACTACTACTACTACTACTACTTCGGCCTCTACTATCTACTACTACTACTACTACTATTATTATTACTACTACTACTACTACTACTACTACTACTAGTACTACTACTACTACTACTACTACTACTACTACTACTACTACTACTACTATTACTATTACTATTACTACTACTACGATGACTACTACTACGCTCACGACTATTTTCACTAGAACAACTACCACCACTACTAGTTTTACCATTACGTCTTCTACTGATGCTACTACCACTACTACTTCGACGACTACGGATACGATTTCGACGACGATTAGGCTTGCTATTGTTACTACTGGCACCACTATTACTTCTACTACTAGGACTTCTTCTTCGACTGTTCTATTACCGGCGCTAGCCATCCTAGTCCCAGTTCCATTTTTAGTTGTTTTACGAATGCAATTGTTTTTCCCATACTCTTTCTCTGTGTCCGCTGCTAGGACATCTACTACTACTACTACTACTACTACTACTACTATTACTACTACTACTACTACTACTACTACTACTACTACTTCTACTACTACGACTACGATTATTATTACTACTACTACTACCAGTACTACTGCGGCTACAACTACTACGTACTAGTACGACAACTACTGCCACTATTATGACGAGTGCTACTGCTATTGTTTCTTCTTCTATTGTCCTACCACAGTTAGGATTACC